AGAAAACTGATATTGCTATGGTCCAAGAAATTCATCTCTTAGCAGACGATTCTCAGAAATTAGACTACAGGTGGGTGGGGTTAGAAATTTCTAGTGGGTTTAACACCAAGTCACTGCAGTTTCTATAAGTGCATAACAGCTTTGTCCCCCATTTAATTGACTTAGGTAATTCAGAAGGTAGATTTGTTTTTGCTAATGTTATAATGTGGATTTCATTTTTACTTTGAGATGTCTATGGTCCCAAAACAGACAGTGCACATTTTATCATTCTTCTTTTTTGGGGGGGGGGAAGATCTCTGTATTTGGGAAATACCATTATGTTTTGGGGGTAGATTGGCATTAATGTTTGGATCTTGTCATTGATAGGTCTTGGGCATCTCCATCCACAAAACTGACTTTGAGGGAAGTTATTCAAAGTTATATGTCAGACCATGGTTTAATAGATATTTGGTGAATAGTGAATCCAACAATAAGTGATTATAAGGTTCTTTTTCCAGCACCTCAATCAGTATATTCTAGAACTGACTACTGTTTAGTTTCTCAAAGCAGAACTGACTGTAGTCAATGCCTCTATTGCCGTTGCAGATGACACTGAGGTGGAGCTTCAACCCTTCCTTGCAGATAGACTGGCTGTATATAATTACTAGGTCTGTGCAAAGTGGAATGTATTCACTTTGGATTTGGTGGGACAGTAATTCAATTTGGTGATCTGAATCAATGTCCCAATTCAATTTGGCTGAATCCAAAGATATTTGGCACCAAATCATATTCACTTATAGACTATACAGGCAGGCAGTGCTGGTGGGAGCAGATGGATGAGCTCCGGCTTAAGCCAGCAGCCCCAGCTTGTCCAGCTGCTCCCTCGGCTTCCCCCCTGCAGGGGTGAGGCAGGCAGTGCTAGCAGCCCTGGGAGAAATGATTGGGGAGCTGGGGAACTGAACCAGGAGCTGTGGGGAAGCCTCTGTTCATTCCCCCAGCCCCAGATCATTCCCCGCAGCTCCTGGTGTGATTCCCCAGCTCCCAATCATTCCCCCAGTGGCCCAATCATTTCCCCCAGCTCCCATCATTCCCCCCAGCCCCATGGCTTCTCCTGGGGCTTCCAGCACTGCTTGCCTTGCCCGGTGGGGGGCAGCTGAGGGAGTAGCTGGATGAGCCGCAGCTTCTTGGGCTACCAGCTCAAGCCGGGGCTTGTCCAGCTTCTCCCACAGCCGCTCCCACCAGCATTGCCTAGTGCCTGCCTATACAGTTTATGGCTGAATTGATTTGGAGGCTTATGATTTGATTAGGAGAGATTAATGGGTCTTCTGATTTGATTTGGATTTGGAGATTTGGCCCCTGAATTGGGTCAAATCAGCTACCAAAGCTTCACACAGCCCTAATAATTACTGGTGACTCAGCACCTCCTTGTTGAATGATTATATATTTGAAGCTTTCATTTTAGAGGAGCTGAAAAATTTTATACAGCTTAATCAACATACTCTTTACTTTGCTACAATATTATGAGAAACTACTAAGGCCTTCTTTTTACAAGAACATATAGCATATGCTTCAGCAAAAAAAGAAAAAATGGTACAGAAATAGATATTTAAATAAGAAAAATTAAGGCTTTAGATGAGGATTATATCACAAACCCTTTGCCTGATAAAGTATGCATTATTACCAATATGAGATATGATATGAATAAATTACTGTCCCAGAAGGCAGATTATGCTCTATATTTAGATTACATCAAGTTTACCAGGAATTAGGACAATGTACAGGAAAGTTAGTAGCATATACTATAAAGCGTAAATTCACCCACAATAAAATGTTATCTATAAAAAATTCTCTTGGGAATATTCATGTGACACAATGAAATCAACCAACAATTTAGTCAATTTTATTCTAATTTGTACACTGAAAATATGGATATTACTAGTGAGAAAATACGTTCCTTGTCTTTATACCCATACAGCAAATTTCATACAAGGAAAAGGAAATTTTTGAGGCTCCTTTATCATTAGATGAAATAACTTTGGCCAGGCCATTAGTGCATGAATAGTAAATCTCTGGACTGTGATGGATTTCTGTGGAGTTTTATAAAATATTAAAGAAATATTATGTAAAGCTATTATTTCTGTAATTCCTAAACTAGGCAAGGATTGTATTAATTGTTCTAACTCTAGACCAATTTCTTTAATGAATATAGATACCAAAATCCTACCCAAAACTTTATCTCACAGATTTGAACAGGTGCTTCTGAAGTTAATGCACAAAACTCAATTAAGCTTTATCAAAAAGGCATATTTTAGGTCATGTACATCAAGTTATTGATACTGTAGTAGTAGTGGAAAATTCCAAAGTCCCATTGGCTATTTTAGCACTAGATGCAGACTTTTGTGTTTGCTGAAGTACTTCTTTGTGTATTACAAAGATGGGCTTTGGTAAAGGATTCATAAGGTGCATATGAATCTCACTTCAAGAGCTGTGACCAATAGTAAATTATGTGATCCATTTCCCTTGCAAAGCGGGTCATGGCAAGGTTGCCCATTGTCCCCCCTTTTTATTTGATTCAGCATTGGAACCACTGACTAAAGCTATATGGAATAAGGGTGATACTAGGGCATTAAGGTAGGAGATAGTGGGCACATCTACACAAGACATTTACTGCGCAGTAGACTAATTAGCTATGCCATAAACATCATGCATTTACACATGCTCCCCTATTAGGCTGGAGTAAATTAATGTACTCTGCAGCAGGATAGTACTTGTGAATACAAATACTATTCTGTTGCAGAGTAAGAAACTCCTCAGCAGTTCATGTGTAGACGCTGCCCCAGCTGGCTGCGGCCTGAGGGTGGGTACATGTTGGAGATGTAATATATTTCAGGCAATGCTCAGTCACAGTTTTTGGTCGTGCCCCATTATCTATTCCTTTTAGAAAGAAATTATAACCAGAGTACCATGGATCTTAATACAACACTGATACCTTTGGCAAATGTGTATGTTCCTGGGTATATCCCCAAGGAATTCAAACCGAATCCTTCCCAGATTGCACTGTGACAGCAGGTCTTATTAGTAACATGCTGGATTATACTGCTGCATTGGAAAGGTTGACATCTGGAACAATGAGATGACGCAGCTGTCATTTATGGGGACAGTTATGTTTGGCAGGCATAACTGCTTTGAAAATTTTGGTGCAATTTGGAAAGAATTCTTGAACCTCTCTCTTCCTCGTCCCTCCCCCCACTACTTTTTTTTTCTTTTTCCTTTTATTGCTTACTATTTGTGACATAGTTTGGCTTCACATCTATAGTTGCTATGTATTTTTATCTTTAAATGATGTATATTTTTAAAAAAATCAATAAAAAAAAAAAACAAGGTTTTTTTGTCTCATTTCTTAAAAACCTGTTTCAGGACCTTGCTGCTCTAAATGGGTAGAAATTCCTCCCCCTATCCCCCTCACAGATTAAAGAGAAATTATTTTAAGGCTTTGAGGTTAATTTGAAGTACTAAATGACTGTGCAGTAATGACTGAGCAGTCTGTCTCTCATGGAGATGCAGCCATTGTTAATCAACCTAACAAAAGACTGGTAGGCTGAGGAAGCAGGCTAAGTGAGAATACGGTGAATGAATGATATAGGTCCATTTTATTGCTGTAATTAGTAGAATGATACTTTGTTACTGGTCTTGTGGTAGTACCTATAGGCCCCAATCATAGAACAAAGCCCTACAGTACTAGGTGCTGTGCAAAAGTCTAGAAAAGACAATTCCTGTCCCAAAGAGTTTACAATACTTAAAACAATCTAAATAATTAATACAATCTACATTTTAGGGCCTAGTCTACATGTAGTTTTTACCTCTGTCAATTTAGAAACCTACATAATACAAAGAAGTTATGGGATAAATTAATCCCATATTGTATTCAGATTATGAGGAGGAAATGCTGTAGTTAAGTTCTCTTTTTAAAAAATAATGGTTTTCAGAAGGTTTCTGTGAATTCCTCAGACTTAATGCTTTCTAGAATTCACAAAAAAAATCTCATATCATAGATGTTCTTTTCCCTAGATCTATTCTACCAGTCACATAACTTTTCATAAAAGACAACATTTTTCCAAAGTGTTTGTTTGCTGTCAGCAGTTACTGATGACTGGTTTCTATCTGCACTGTCACATAGACTTTGCTCTGCTTGCTTGAGCCTCACATTTATATTCTTGAAGCACTATTAATTCTGGAGTTCATAGTTTGTATTCTTGCTTCTTTAGGTCAGGTTTTTTATTGCCTCCATTTCCAAAAGGGAAGGGGTATGATTCCTTTGCAATTCTGTTTCCTGCAGGTTAAGGATTCCCTTGTCTCTTTGTGCAGAGGGAGAGGACATTGCTGATTCTATTTTTTTTAAATATTTTAGGATAGGTATCAGTTTTCCATCCTACCTCTGTCTTATGTCTTGCCTAAGGAAGAGAATGATCCTAGTGAAGTAATTTTATGACCTGACTGTCTGAGATACTAGAGGACTGTACTTAATGACTAGGAGGTCACCTCCAGATATCTGTTCTATGTTCCTAGTACCACTAATCTGGGTTGGTCCTTGTGAGAACTAAGATCTTACCTAAGTATTGTTAATCAATCTAATAGAAAACTGTTAGGCTGAAGAGGCAGGTTAAGAAGTGGGAGAAATGGGAGTGCTCAGCCTTGCCTAACAAGAGTGAGAGTCATGTAGATGAGCTCCTAGCACACTGAGGATTTTCCAAGGATATTTAAAAATATAAATCAATAAAGCATGACATATATATTCAGGACAATAGTGTCTTCAGACCTAGCATTTGCTAACTGTGCATGGACTTGAGGTAGTGCATCACCTCACAATTCTTTCAAAAAGCACACTGATACCATTACCCTCAAAGAGACATGACCTATCAAAATTGCACAGTCTCTTTTATATTCTTGCTTCTTTAAATAACTCCCAATTACAGCAGATGATATTTTATTCCCAGGGAAAATATTTTCAGTAACGGTCTTACCCGGATGCTAGTAGGTCACTGACAGGGTTCCAGGCACAGATGAACACCTCTGATTCATGGCCCCGAAGGACTGTTGCTTTGTTAGGAGGAATTTCAATATCTCCATCAATTTCCATTGGCTTTGAATGATTATCTGAAAAAAGGTACAACGGAATATAAGTACTCCGTAAGATTCTGGTAGAAACCACTTGAAAACTCGCCTGGGACTGCATGTTAGCTTGAAGATACTACTATATTGTTTTTGGGTTTTTTGGGGGATTGATTTTTATGACAGTTCCTCAAAATAAAGCCCTTTGCCATAATAAGTGCAATAACAATTTGAAGTTTCCCATCACATATACTGCTGTTTGATTCAACTGAGCTGTTTAAAGTTGGCTTTATTAAGAAAAATGCATTTACCGATTCATTAAAAACAATATATATTACCACATGACTGAAAAAAAAAGCTTTGTGATAATAAATGATGCACAAGTAGGTAAAACCTGGGGTCACACAAGGAAAAATAAAGGGATACACTGAAATATGAAATAGTTGTGTTACTCTTACCACTGTCCCGAGCTCTGAGCAAGGTTGGAGCCCCATGGACAAGAAATCCTGTTCTCACTTAACTGAAGACTACACCATAATACTTGACAATAACTGAACCTAATTAAAGTAGAGGTGAGCTCAAATCTAGCATTCCCTAACTTTTGAATGCTTGGCAACCCAGACAACTCTCTTTTAAATGAAGCCTCTACATATAACTTCTTTCTTAACGAAAAATGGCAAATTAAAATTACATTTTAACCACAGCAAACCCTCCAATCATGCATCAGCAGTGGAATTTAATGTCCAAAACTTCAGTGTTGCTGCACAGACTTTTACCACTTGGGCTACAAGACAAATTACATTATGCTAACAGTAGCATAAGGCTATGCGCATATACTAATAGAAGCTAAATAATGCACTGAAATAGCAGTTCACCAGCATTACCTATGGAAGAATAACCTCCTTTAGAAGAAGTTCAGCCAAGAGCTAATGCTTGGCAAATCCTCTCTGGGAGACTGCATGAGTGAGTAGCGGAGACTTAATTTACCATGTAAGAGATCTGGGTTTCATCCATAGTTTATGAAAACTATGAGGCCAAGCTAATTAATAACAGTTATGGAGGGCAAAGCACTATTAAAGACATATTGAAGAACAGTTCACATTCTCCTGGTTCTTAACACAGAACATATTCACCCATGCTAGAGGGTTGTTGGGAATGGAGCAGAACAATGATGAGGATGATTCATTTTGCATGTGTTCCATTTAGGATGTGAATAGGATTTTAAAAAGTAATGTGAATGATAAAAATGGGACTTTAACCTCAGCAGACTGAACATGTGATCATGAGAATTCTTGAGAGGTTCAGTGGCCTTTTGTCTACACTTATCTGGTACTGATGGCAGAAGTTGATGTCAAAACAGAAATCATTTCTGGTGGGTCCACTGAAGATACTAGGTGGGCAGTATGCAAAGTAAAACTTCGAAAGGGAAAGTTTGATTCGCAGCAATAAACCTCTAAAATTATCAGAAGGCACAGAAGCATCTACATGGATTTTCTGTGCTTACCAATTAGTTGCAGAAGATGTCTTTCATTTAGGAGAAGCAATGCAACTCCACCAGCACAAAGAAGGGTTCTGCCACTTCAGAGTAGCTCTGAGTATAGATACACTCAAAAGTTCTGCTGGCAGAGGATTGTAGTCTAGACTAGACCAGATACATACAGGCTAGGGACAAACATTAAAAAAGCCTGAATTGATTCAATCTTTGCAGGTTAGTCTAATCTGGCTAGGCTGAATCAGTTTGTAACTGCACAGACCTCCCAGAAATGCAGGTACATGCCTGCAGTGGCTCAGGCTAGAGGCAGGGGGTGGGCACTAGAGCAGCCCTGCCTTCCCATCCATAGTGCTAAGCTGAGAGGGGGCATGGCCAGGCCCTGGCAGGACACTCTGATTAGGGAGGGGTTATCCCCCTCACTGTTGATAACAGAGTGTTTAGTTACACAGCAGGGAGTTAAACAGGGAGTTGTTAGCATTTATCAGCCCATCAAACAAAATAAAATCTTCTCTCCTTAGTTCAAGCTTTTCTTAAACAACTTTTTCCATGGAAGGAATGGAGGGACATTACCAGCTACCTGTTGATTAGCTCCAAAAAGCCCTAGGTCAACACTGTCCTGTCTGCCTTTGTTCCATTTTCCACAGCCCAGACCGTAGCCAGCATGTGGTATGCTAACTAATGCTGAGAGGCGTCCGTGTAAGGCAAAGGGGAGCGGGGAATCCCTGCTTGAGCAGGGAGTGGGGTGGGGGGAGCAGGAGGAAGCCAGACAGATGCCACTGTACCTGCAGTTTCTGCCAGAGCTCTGGGCAGGAAGCAGAGGGGTGGGGCCAGCCCTGCTGGGGTGGAGCAGAGAGCAGAGCCCCACCCATGGTTGCAAAGCATTTGGGTTGATGGGGGACTCTGGTTTGACTTAAACCAGGAAGGGGTCTGGGACAGACATTGCATAAACTGGTTTGACCCAAGTCAGTTAAGTCTGATACTACATTTGACCAGGTTTATCTCAAAACAGTTTCAGCCACTTTCAAACTGGTTTATGTGCACTGAACATCTGTTCTGTTACAGGTTTAAATCAGTTTATGATCACTTAAACCAGTTTAGGTGTAATGTCTGTCCCTAGCCACAGTGAACAGGGCCATTCTGAGGGAAAGACATAATAGGGTTTCAAGATACATGGACGGTGTCAACAAAATAATCTCAGTTTTCATTTAAGATGACATTTCTAACATGCACAGTTATATAGAGAAACCCAAAAATTAGTTAGTGGGTCAATGTCTGCCTACATCTAATGACAGTCTCTAGTAGAATTAAATCAGTAACTATTAAATCCTGGAAGAAAGATTAATGGCCGTGGTTACAACACATCCCTATTGCTATGTAAAAGATCAGTCTGGTCAACGTGGTAGGATTTTTAAGTCTCACTACAATCTGCAAGACTGGCTTCTCTTTTGGGATGCTCAGGTCCCCCTTCATGAGGGTCTGTTTCTTCTACCAATCTTTTGGCTCTACAAGTCTGACTGTAGGGGAAAATACACTGCTACTTTTTCAAAGCACAAAAATGAGTCAAGACTGAGAAGACTGTGAAAACAATTATGGCAGGCGGATGGGCAGCATGTGTGTGGCCTGCACATGGCGGGCACCACCACAGTGTGGCCCACATCACTTGCTTGTAGAACCCCCCTGCAGAGGGGCACCCCTGCCCTCACCCCCTCGCCTTGCTCCCAGTTGTGATGTGCTGCTTTGGGCTGACAGCACCCCCTACTCCCTCAGCCCCCAACCATCTTCCCCAGCCCTGCCCCACAGCCCCCAAGCCCCACTTACCTCTAGGATCCAGAAGTGAAGGGCATGGCTCTGTGGTGGCAGCACTTGCCTGAAAAGCCCTGCCACCCTGCATACAGCTGCCACCACGCCGCACCACTGTGGAGCTGTGCAGCCGGTCACGGGGCATGCTGCTGCATGCAAGCCCCCTGTTTCACCCCCTGGCTGGGCAGCACATATGTGACCCACACATGGTGGTTGTCACCGCACTGCTGCTGTTGCGCCTTGTGCCACTTGCCCACAAAACTGTGCAGGTGGTCATGGGATGGTAGCGCAGGGCGCAGTGGCAGAGTTGTGGTGGCGGCCTCTGTGTGCGAACCTCCTGTCAGGCTGCCCAGCATGTGTGTGGCCCACAGAGTGGCACCCCTGCCCTCACCCACTGGCCCTGCTCCTGAGAGTGGACACAGCAGCACACTCCCCCCCTTCTTGATCTACCCCCCAGCACCTTCCCTTCTCCCCACACACACTTATCTGCGGGGGGGTGTCAGTGTCTGTGTCTGCATGTCTGTGGGTCTGGGGGGCTGTTGTGAGGGGCATCAGGAGGGCTGTTGAGACTGTGGGGGGGGAAGTGTGGGGCACCAGTAGCGCTGGGAGGGGCTGCAGGAGGCCTTTAATTTTTATCACAGATTTTGGGTTTTTAGTCAGAGGAGTTGCAATTTTTAATCAGAGAAAACCAGGATCCCTATTAATGAGACAGTTCATACTGCTCCATACTAGTTGTGCCTGGAAGGTTTGATCTGCAACAATAATAGCAATAGGAGGGAGGGAAGGAGGGAAAGAAGGGAGAAAGGAAATCTGAAAGTCTGGCTACTAGTAGGGCACTGACATGATTCCAGGTATAAATGAACACCTCTCATTGCAAGGAAAGTAACAAACACTGTGCTGGCTATTGGGGTTAGCCCTGCCAAACTGCAAAGTCCTGCTATGTACCAAGGAGATGTTAGTATCTTCAGAAGAGGGATGAAAAATTTTTAAGGCCAAAATGTGTTAGGTAACCTAAAATAAAGTGGCCAAAAATACTTACCCTCTTTAGAAGATCTTATACAAGAAACTCAAAGAACTTTAAAAACTTTAAGCAGGATTTGCAGAAGCTAGCAAATCTAACAAAGCTGAGGAATTCCATGTTATTACATCTATTTCACAGGTAAGTTAATTGAGATAGAAAGCCCTGAGCCAGCAAGGCATTTATGTCCATCCTTTACTTTAAGGGTCTGAGCAGTCAAATAAACCTCAGTGTTCATTGACTGCTTTACTAAATGGTAAAGCCTACAAGCCATGGTGGCAGCCTACAAGTACATAAGGGGTGTGCATCAGGATCTGGGGGAACACCTGTTCACCAGAGCACTCCAGGGGATGACAAGATCCAATGGTCGCAAACTCATTTTAGGCTGGACATACAGAAAAACTTCTTTACCGTCCAAGCCCCCAAGGTCTGGAATAGACTCCCCCCAGAGGTGGTGCAAGCATCTACTCTAGACACTTTCAAGAAACATTTGGACGCTTATCTTGCTGGGATCCTTTGACCCCAGCAGACTTCCTGCCCCCTGGGCAGGGGGCTGGATTTAATGATCTTAAGAGATCCCTTCCAGCCCTAATGTCTAAGAAATCTACGAAATCTATGAAATAGGGACAAGGTCACTCAGGTGCTTAAAGTTAATCACATTTGGCATTTTGATGATTCAGGGGCAAAGTAAGGAGTTCAAAGAGTCAGGAACAGGGTCCAGGGGTTCTGATTTCC